TTCCGAAAACACGATAGAAACTAACCTAGTATGCTGAATCATTATATAAATATTTAAATTCATCAATTTCAAAAAAGGTGAAGAACATGTTTTTTTTAATTTTGTCAATTATTGGTCTAGGAAGCCGCCCATTTTCAACAAAGTAAATTACTTTTTTTTTTTTTTTTTATGTCAATAGACGCTTAGCCTGTTTGAGCCATATTTTCGGTGTAGAATGCATTTTCAAATAATGGATTGATAGAGATTGTGTGGTTAAAAAATAAATAAAAGTTTTTGATTTGTGCATAATATTATTTTATTGAAAAATATGTAGTTGAAAAGAAGGGAGAAAAAAAAATTTATTTAATGTCATTTTAACAAAATAGACAAAAAGTTTGTATGGACTCTTTGGGATTTTTTCATAATGTGTCATCATTCATTTCATGACGTTTTTTATTGGTTCGTGATCATTTTTATAGTCGCTACGTTGGTTAAAGCACGCAAATACCGATTCGTAACTTATGTATGACATATTGAACCATTCATCAATAATTTTCCAAGTCATTTTACATTCCATTCAGCACCGATCGTATTAGGGAATGGATTTTCTTGTTCCAATATATAGAAACACTACTCAAACTCTCACCTAATTTTATTTTATTTTATTTGATTTTACTTGCTATAAAACAATTTGATTTTATATGTAATTCCCAACAATACTTAAACTAAATCGAATCAAACTACACCCACCCTCAAATTCGGTGACTTCTCATCCCTTACAACTTTTGTGGGCACATGTCCTCTCACTCTTGAAAATTTTGAAGCAAATCATAACTGACGAAACGTCTTTTTGTTGGGAAAGGTGAACTACGCCTACAAATCTCAATTTGTCTTCCGAAGTGTATAATTTTTTTGTAGTGAATTTTTTTTTTCTTTTCTTTTTCCTGATTCGTGAACAAGCACGTTTTACACAATTCTCTTTTATGGGGTCCTAACTTTGTATAATTATTTTTCTTTTGAATATTGTTAGACCATACAACATCTTATCAACTTAGTGGGTCTTCCACCATGTGACCACCAGCAATGGCCAATCTCCACCATATTTAATTTCCGTATCTTCTCCCAAATTGTCATGTTCTTCTCCAAGAATGACAATGCGCACCATTTAAATCATACTCTTTTCTATGAATTTGTTTAATATAGTATTAAAATCAGTAAACATCTCGAGTTGATAAATATCTTGTATGCTCCAATAGAAAATAACATGATGCTATAGTGGGGTAGGATGGGGGGTGTCAAAACAGAATAGTTAAAAAAAAGAGCCTTGGTCGAAGACTAGAATTTGTAGAAATAAACGAGTTAATTGTATTGATTAAGCATGTTGTCGTATGCTTACTAATTGAAATTTTCATTCCATACAGTTAGACATTTCAATAATTTAATTCCGAAAACACGATCGAAACTAACGTACATTATATAATTATTTAAATTCTTCAATTTCAGACAAGGTGAAGAACATGTTTTTTTAATTTTGTCAATTATTGGTCGAGGAACCTGACCATTTTCAACAAAGTAAATAACTTTTTTTTATGTCAATATACACTTGGCCTGTTTGAGCCCCATTTTCAGTGTAAAATGCATTTTGAAATAATGGATTGATGGGATTGTGTGGTTAAAAAAATAAAGAAATATTTTTGGTTTGCGCATAATATTATTTTATTGAAAATATGGAGTTGAAAAGAAGAGAGAAAAAATATATTTTCAAAAAAATGGGGATCAAACAATGGCTGGACGAAAAATTTTTTTAATGTCATTTTAACAAAATAGACAAAAAAGTGCTTACCGATTCATTTTATTTGAATTTATCATTGTATGGACTCTGGGATTTTTCCACAATGTGTCATCATTCATTTAATGACGTTTTTTATTGGTTCATGATCATTTTTATAGTCGCTACGTTGATTAAAGCAAGCAAATACCGATTCGTAACTTATGTATGACATATTTAACCATTTTTCAATAATCATCCAAGTCATTACATGAAATGAGCGAAATATGTTTCAAGGAGATTTGAAATCGTATACAACAATTCAAATAAAATTTCCATCTAATTCTTTGTTTTCTTCTATTTATTGAACTCATCAATTTCCTGACGGAAAGAACTTATCTTAAGTAAAATTAATTATCCGTTTTAGAAATAAGCGAGTTTTATAAGATACGATGAGTTTGATTAGATATTCTGCGTGATTCACAAAAAGTTGACATTGCGTGAACATTTTATCAATTCTTGCTTTTCTGATTCATGGACTCTTCTCTCATTTACTCTTCGTCCACGTCACATTTTATCAATTCTCTCTCTCTCTGACTACCACACATTTCTCTATATATACAGATGTATCCCTGGATATGATATATACTAATTAAGCAAAACAAATGGAAGAAAATCAACAAAGGCATTTTGTTCTCGTACATGGTGCATGCCATGGTGCTTGGTGCTGGTACAAGCTACAACCACTGTTAGAGGCGGCCGGTCACCGCGTCACGGTATTTGATCTCTCAGCCTCCGGCATCGACCCGAAAAGCCTAGATGAGCTTCGCACATTTCCCGACTATACACAGCCACTGTTTAAGGTAATGGAGTCGATTCCACAAGACGAAAAGGTAGTACTAGTTGGACATAGTCTTGGTGGCTTGAACTTGGCTTTTGCAATGGAGAAATACCCTGAAAAGATTTCTGTGGCTGTTTTTCTTGCGGCTATAATGCCTGACACTATACATAGGCCATCCTATGTTCTGGAAGAGGTAAAATTGTGTATACACTTAGGAATAGCTTAGACAATTTTAATAAATTTCACTTGATTAACTTGTTTGGCAGTACCTTGCACGGACTCCGACGGAAAATTTTTTGGACACTCAATTCGCACCGTTTGGTAGGCCCGAAGATAATCTCGAATCAATATTCTTTGGTCCGCAGTTCACATCATCCAGGCTATATCAAGAATCCCCACCTGAGGTAAAAATATATAGAATGGAACCAATGATAAAAGAGATTAAAAAATGAAAAAAGATTAGTTCCTAGTTGAATTGACTGGTCTTTTTTGATTTTCAAAAGATTAGTTTTTATCCAACGTGATGGTAATAACAGTGCACTACCAGATTTTTCAGGTTAACATTTCCATTAAATTAACAAATAAAATTTTAATGACTTAATTAGAGCAAAGGAAAAGTTCAGTGTCGAAATGAAACACTGCCATAAATTAACTAACGAGTGTTTTTAATTCATTATGGTAGGACATTGCATTAGCAAACTCATTGATGAGGCCGTCCTCCTTTTTTATGGAAGATTTGTCAAATACGAGCCCATTTTCCGATGAAAAGTATGGATCAGTAAAGCGTGCTTTTGTCGTAACTGGCAAAGATAAATCTGAATCACAAGAGTTCCAGCAGTGGCAAATTGAAAATATTGGAGTGGCAATAGTGAAAGAGATAGCAGACGCTGACCACATGGCAATGATTTCAAAGCCCAGCAACCTTTGCCAATGTTTACTGGAAATAGCCAAATAAATATATTTAACGAATTGTTTTCTTTAATTGTTGAAAAATAATGTACTCTTTTATGACACTAGTGGTCAGTATTTAAACCCTATCAGAAACGTTCAAGTAGAACGTTAAAATGCCGTAATAAATGTTGTCAAAACTGGAATAAAGTACTTTTTTATTTTTGCTTTAATTTTTAAATTTCTTGGTGGTTTATATATATATATATATATATAGACTAGATGCAAGCAACGTGCAATGCACGTTTACTTAGTTTATATTGAATAGTTTTGTTTAATAATTAATTTGTTATTGATGAAAATGTAATTTTTTTTTGTTAATTAAATAATTAATGATGTAATGTTTATGTAATTGATAAATAATTAGATGTGTGATTTTGATGTTGTGATGTAAGTTGGTGAGATCGAAGAAAATAAGCAAAAGTTGACAAATTTGAAG